CTCTCGAAGGCATTAAATGTCGCTCTGCATGGTTTGAAACGTCAGCGGGCGTCCACAGTTTAGCTTTCAACAGTGAACGTGCCTTGAAAAAAACCAATGCTGTCAATATGATAGAGTTGCCATTTTGACGGCTAAGCCCAGACAGATGCGATAATAACTTCTTAACATCAAAAGCCGTTGTGCTGGAGCTTCGCACTTGGTGCTGCACCACTAACCCAGGTGCCGTTCCAGGTCCGTTAGCAAAACCGGCAAACTGGTGCGATGTGACCCCAGCATCCATTGAGGAATTTTTGATAGCCTGCGGACACCAACCGCGAGTCCCCCTTTGTCCGTGAATAAGCTCTAGGTGCTCTTCCAATGACGTCAGTGCAATCATGCATGCAGTATGTGTTGCTGCGCGAACGGTCTGTCTTATACTCGTCGCGGTAGCGGTATTGCCTTGACCTGGGCCATGAAGGGTAACCAATAACTGCCCAGCGAAAGGATCTTAATTGCGTTATTAGTCACGCTTGGCGACTCTTCAGTGTCCCGATTCATAATACAAGTCTGCATGAGATCTGGGGCTCTTCAGGGTCCCGATTCATGACACAAGCCTGCGTGGGAGACCCGTGCCTCTTCAGGGTCCCGATTCATGACACGAGCCTGCGTGGGAGACCCGTGTCTCTTCAGGGTCCCGATTCATGACACGGGCCTGCATGGGAGACCCGTGCCTCTTCAGGGTCCCGATTCATGACACAAGCCTGCATGGAAGACCGGTACCTCTTCGGGGTCCTGATTCATAACACAGGCCTGCATGAGATCTGGATCCTTTCAGAGTCCTGGTTCATGACACAATCCCGCGTGTGAGACTTCAGAGACTGCCCCTTCAGGGTCCCGATTCCTCACATGGACCTGCATGGGATACTTGTGTTGCAGTCCCGCTGGAGTTAAAGTCGACCCCGCAATCAGACAAGTTGCGGTGAGTCTCGGTCGAGTTCGCGTGGTTCGAGGTGGAGGTGCATGCAATACTATTGCACGGAATCGTCGATAGACGTGTTTCATCTAGGAATATAAACAATAACTATACTTGATGTCAGAAAGAAGGGCTTCTGGGTTTTCGGCATTGGGAGATCAGAGTTCTTATGCTGAGTCATCGACGTTCAATACACTAGGAGGTGATGGTTAAGCGATGTTATTGTGCAAACCTTGGTTGCATTGGCAGTACTCCATGTTCCATGCGGGGCTAATGCTCACGAGTTTGACTTGAGGGCATAACCGTAGCTTCAAACGTCAGGCACTGTCAATATAGCTGATGTTTGCACTACCATAGCCTTTAACGAGTATCGCGTGACCAGTATCTCCTGGTACTGGTTACAATGAAATGATGCTGAATTATACAGAGGGTCGACAACTCAGTATAAAACCTCTGAACCCAAACTAATATACATTCCTGTTTCGGCCGCGGTTATGTTTCTACCAAATGTGGCACTTCTCATCGCCCTGTCGTGTCACAGCATAGATGTCCGAGACAGGCTTTTGTAGCGGCTGTAGAACGGCCTGCGTCCTAAGCTGTCGCGATCGGAAAAGCTTTCTTCACGAGCGCATACCACAATGGGGACTTCCCTCCCTAAGTCCGAATGAGACCGGGCTTGTGACATGCTTGTTCAGCTTGTAGTCGGAATCACCTGGTGTGTTGTGATTCTGAGTTAGATGGTATTCTAATAAAGAAAAATCAAGCACAGTTCTGCTGCATAATAGTTAGGCGACCGAAATGCTTTTCTTATAGCATTTTCCTGGAATGGGACAAACATTCTGATTTCAAAAACAGTGTTTTAAAACCAACGATTGCAGGATACCTGAAATATGGACACTTGGACACTCTTACGCTTTGTCTTCGGCCGTTATGCTAGGACGAAAGTGTTGCCATAAAGTACCTTCAGATGGAACTCCCCCCCTTCCAGCACGTGTTTAGCCCAATACCTTGCAGAACTTTTTTCTGCGTTAGGAGAAAACTTCTGGCAAAACAGGCGATACAATGTCTGCAGTACGATATCGCGGAGTACGTCGCAACGAACGACGTCTTTGACTTGACATTTGTTTTCATGTCCAATACCTTTCAAGGTTTGTTTTACTGCCTACAATGACTCCATACAAGCTCGATTTTCAACCGCACCTCAGTTCTTATAAGTACGTAGCATTTCCATACCTTTATGTATATATATATATATATATATATATATATATATATATATATATATATATATACATATTTATATGTATATATATGCATAATACTACATGCATATATATATATATGAATATATATATACATATATATATATATATATATTATATATATCTATATATATAAACTGCCCTGGTGGTGCGGCATTATAAATATTTAATGGAAACGAGGGTTAGACACGGTTTTGAATGCCAAATGTGAGTTTCACGCATGCATTGAAGGGTATATCGTTATCATTATGAGATGATGGTACGAACAACGGTTAGCATGATGAACGAAAACTGGCCTTTGCTCATCAGTGGACTGATATGCGTCTCCTAAGACCATTAAAACAAGCAAGATGATCGGTAAAGAATGAATAGACAAAATACAACTACAAAAATAACACCGCTCTTTGAATGTGACCAATTTATGCGGTTCTGTACAGCACTGTTTTGCGATTAAGCTTGTGCTGCGATTGTGCTGCGTTTTGTAGGCGTTGATGAAGTTGTGCGATCCTACATGCAAAGGCGGTCGCCAGGTTCGATCTCGCACCACATCTGCGTATTTCCCCGACAAAACATGCCACTGAGTGCCGGCCACTGCAGTGATAGCAGCATGACGACCAGTGTCGCCATTCGAGGCTATCGCCTGCTGGTAATGTGTCTGACCTGTCCGTGGGCGGCACTATCGCCCGCTGCGGCCATGCGACGGGCCGAGATACGGGGACGCTCACGACTGGCCGGCGGTTGGAGCCATGGTGCTCCAGAGGCGCGTGCCTGGCGCCGCCCGCGCCTGCCTGGCACGGACCGTTGCTCTTGTCTGGGCGCCGCGCCGAAGGACATGCTTGTTGTAGGTCATAGGAGGGTATGTGGAGGTTTTTGAACCGGAACGCGGAACGTGCCCCCAGTCTGCATCATGACATGCTTGCTATCCGCACTGCTTCTTTTGTTTTGTTTTTGGCTGCAGTCGACTGACCCCCTGCAATCCTATTGCAGTTCCTCTCGTGCTGGCGCTGGCGCACGGCCAGTCGCGCGGCAGCAGGCGCTTCACGCCGTCCCCGTTCCTGCTGGGTTCAGGACCTGGGCTTCGACCCTCGGCACGAACCACGCCGCGGCCACGGCGCCGCCCCGCCCGAGCCGCGCGGCAGCCGAGCCAGCGCCCGACGACCGGTCCGCACCGTTCGCGCCACCCGGACGTCGAGATCAACGATATCGACGCCGAGTTCGGCAACCTGGTTCGCGCCGTCGCGCTCGAGGAGAGCGGCCGGTATCGGCAACGGCTAGGTTGGAGCAGAGGACCAGGGCGGAAGGGGAGGAGACGACGGCCGGCCAGGATCCAGGCGGTACCGGTACAGGTGCCGGACGAGGAGGAGGTCATCAGTCGGCTCCCGCAGTCGCTCCGGTTCAGCAACAGCGGTCAGAGGAGGGAAGGAACCGTGCGACGCCTTCAAGGAGGCGTTTCAGGCCAGGTCGCAGGGTTAAGAAATCAAGAGGATTATAAATCCCAGTGAGGACACGAAAAAGACTTTTGACAATGTCAGCAAGGATGATGAAAACAGCAATGTCGCGAATAAGGAGTTCGTCAATCTGAGGTGAAACAGACCAGCTAGCGGAAAAGGACCTGCCTAACAGTCTCCTACCACTATATCACGTCACCACAGATTTTGAGAAGAAATAAAATCTTCCGCGGTGCAGGTAGAGATAGACAGTCCGGAGGAAGGACCCCGAAACAACTCCAGGAGGCAGTTCGCCAACCGGCGACGCGTGGTAACGCCCGTCCCTCCGACAACGACAGACGCCGGAGCCATCGAGCCTACAGATAAGCCGCTGGTGGTTTTGAGCACCAGCAGTCCGTTTGAGCCCTTCCCATCAGAGAGAACGAGTTGGACGACGGCAATTAGCGCTCCAAACACCCAGAAAGAGACGAGCCGCGACGCAGACACCTCAGCGTTTTGCGTTTACAAAGTCCACAGCTTCCGGGCCCAGAACTGCATCTTCATCCGCTTCTGGCGCGAGCGATGGTTCGCAGCCGCCTGCTGGAACAGCTTTGGACAGCAGCAGTCCAAGCGGGAAGCGGCCCATCTCCGTCCGAGAACACCGTCGATTCCGGCACCAGTCCCGTATCGACGTCGACGCAGGATGTGCTGCGCCGCCGTCCGTTGGTTCGAAGGCTCGGCCCGAGGCGGCAGCCGGACTGTGACGTCCTCCGGTACTCGAGGCGGGCAGCGGACACGACCGGCGGATCCACCGTCTCGAGGGGCGGGGGCCCCCAGGCGCCGCACGCAGGTCAAGCGACAGCAGCAGTGCAGCGACAGCAGCGGCGCCAGGCCGGGAACGTCCCGAAGCCAGTTGCCAGGCGGCGGCGTCCGTACGGCTCGTTAACGCCGTCCCAGTTCGGGCAACCGACCACGACAACGTCGACGACCGCCGCCACCCACCACTACACGTATCGTCGTGATCGACGCCGGCGGCGGAGCCTCGACGGTACAGACGTTCGGCCCCGGCAGGTTCACATTCACCAGCAGTCTGGACAGCAACGCGCAGCGCACTTTCCCTTCGCGTTCTGCCCAGCTCCTTCGACTTCGGGCCACGTCTGCCACCATAAGGCCCAGCGTCGCCCCAGCGACCGCCTCCGGTGGCTTCCAGCCCCATCGCACCGTCCAGAAACCTGGGCTTTGGATCGGGAAGGCCCACGACCATCCGCTGGTACTCTCCTCGCCCGGTGTCCCTCAACCCACCTTCCCCGCGACATTCCAGCCCACTTCCACAGCCACGCCGACAAACTCCTCGGTAATAGCATTGGAAGTCAAGGATTGAGCCGTGTCACACCACCAACGGCCACCTTCTTTGGAAGTAGCCCTGGGGTTCAAGGCTTTAGCCCCGCACCACCAACTCCTAGCACCATTTTCACCACCCGGCAACAAGCACAAGGCGTCTCTAACTTCGGGAGCTTTGCTTTTGGCACGGACTTTGACAGCACTGGCACGGGAGGAGTAACGACTTTTGACGGCATACCCTCCACTAGACAACCCCCGGCTGACTTCACAACCGCGTTGCTGAGCAAGGACTCATTCGGCTCGGTTAGCCCGTCGTCCGCCTCCCAATCACGCAGCCTTGGGTCCTCGACTAGACTTGGGTCCTCCTCGACTAGCTCCTTTAGCTCCAACTCCTTGCAGCCCGGCGCACCAGCGTCCACGTTCAATACGCGTGGACAGCCGGTCAATAATGTCCGCTTTACACCGTCTGGTGGGTTCAGCTTCGGTACGGGCCAAACCACGGCTTCCAATTTCCGTCCCATTAACCAGCCAACCTCTCGGCCAACCTTCCGCCCCATCAACCAGCAAACCTTTCAGCCAACATTCCGTCCCGCCAGCCCAGTATCTCAGCCAACCTTCCGCCCTTTTAGTCAGCAAACCTTCGGCCCCTTCAGCCAGCGGACCTCTCAGCCAGCGTCCAGTTCCGTGAACCAGCAGCCGTCTCTGCTGCCGATGACGACGCCGCGATCCACCTTCCCCACGGCGCTGTCCTTCACGTCGGCCTTCTCCCCGAACACCCCCACTTCGGCGCCGGCCGTGCTCACTGAGGCCGCGCGCTTCTTCGGCTCCAATCCGGGTCCCTCCAGTCTGCCCGGCTCTGTGTCGACCTTCAGCCGCGGCGCCCCTCCGTCAGCCCTCGGTGGACAGGCGGGCGCCTTCTCCTTCGGCACGACCGCCACCGAGGCCAGCACGCTGGTGCAGTCGATCGCCACAAGTCCGGCCGCGGCGGTGACTCCGCGGCCCACCTTCCGCCCGGAGACGCGTCGGCCGGCACCAAGACCCACGGTCGCCGCCGACCGCACCTCGTCGCAGAGGCGCCCAGCGTCGTCAACGTCGCAGAGGGCGGGCTCCGGTCGCTCTCTGGGGGAGGCCGCCTCCCGGGGAGCCGCCTCCCGGGGAGCCGCCTCCCAGCCGGCGAAGGTGCCGCAGGCCCTCGGCAGCGCGCCCGTGTTCGAGTTCGCGCAGAAGAACGGCCAGATCACGCGCTCGTCGCACCTGAGGGGCTTTGACACGCGTCTGCCGACCTTCCGGGAGGAGGTGGTCGTCAGCGACCCCGTCTTCAGCAGCGCCGACATCAAGCCCGGCTTCTCGTGAGTACCGGGCCTTCCGCAGCAGCGGTGCCGCGTTGGAGCCAAGTGCAACTGTTAGTGAGTTGGAGGATATGAATGCGGTATTTCAAAGAATTATTTCACAGAATCATTCATCTACGCGTGGCTCCGGGACATCCAACTGATGTGGAAAGCCTTGCGCCTGTGCGACGGGAAACCACAAGGGATATGTATACGACATTGTCCTTGCTATTTTCCTATGCACAGGCGTAAGGCTTTTCATATCAGTTTGGTGTCCCGGGGAGACGGCAGATGAATGAATCTGCTAAACGACTTTCGTCGCACCCTTATCGCCTCCATGCTCGTCATGTCAAGCGGAGTTCGTATGGGATGAGCTGTGCTAGCCCCGTGTGAGTCGCCAGCTGGTGTAGTTCGAGCGAAGTGGCACGTGCCCTGTAGCCTGTTTCGTCAAATTTAATGTGAGATCGTTGGCAGGATATTAGCTATTGGATTCATACAGTATGCTGAAGCAATGAAATTTCGTAGGTACTGGGTTTCTCAAACAACGTTTGAGGCGCGATTATATCAACAACTGGCATAAAAGGAGCACGTTCTATGTGCGCACACTCGGCGTATCCTGACGAGCGTCCTGCATCTGATAAGGCAGCTCGAAGGCTTGTGGGTTTGGCAAGGAATTCCTTATAAGCTCTGAGGCGTGGTCAGCTTGCTGTGGGGCTGGAATCGGCTCCAGTCGGCTGGCAGCGAGCGCTGATAATTTTTGGTATGGTTTAAATGCAAGCAATATGCATGCAAATTAAACCGAACCGAGAAAATTTTGTTCTTGTGATCAGCGCTTGCGTTTGCTTACAAAGGAGGTCTGTCCACATATGCTTTATCATCCGACATCGTCTACAAACAGCTGTAAGTCGTAACGGAATCTCGCTGGTTACCCCGCCCCACCACGCATGGGTGCCGGTAAGATAACATCGATCATGCGCTCATGCCGCATTCAGGGGCGCGTCATAGCTGCAACTGGTGAAATCAAATGCAGTGGTCTTTTTGACGTTAAGGCTGCTGTTGAATATGTCTTTTGACTGGGTTTGCCCACGTTATGTGCATGAGTTACTTAAATGATAAGTAACATCACTTTGACATAAGCTATTTTGGGTATTAGATGCATAAACATGATTCGCCAGTTTCAAACCTGTTTCCTCGGTTGGTTCGTATGGTGGATTCGTAATGGTCCTGGTACGCGTCGAACAACTGATCTTAAGAACGAATGTTGTGTTGGCACAAAATACTGCTTGCAAGAATGCTGAAGGGTTTTTAGAAACACCGATTAAATATGTGAGCGTTGGCGGCAGACAGAAAATTTCCTCGGCTCGAAGTTGTATACTTTCTCGACACGATGATTGCAGTTTTTGGCACTCGAATGATGAGCCAAAAGTATAATGTTTGAAACGCCTGATGAGAATGCTTGCTTCTTATGCTGCTCAAATGCGGCATCATCTCAAGCTCAACAAAGCGGGGTAACCATTCGTTGCCTCGTGCTGTTCAGGTAGATCTATGCAGTGTAGGGGGCGCCGCGCATGCTCAAGGCAGAGGCCTCCGGAGGAGCCTATGGCCGTGCGCAAAAGGCCAAAAATCATGTAAAAAGGGTATCTTTCAGGGTTTTTTGCTGCCTGTTTCTTTCAATCAGGACGCATATTTTTGGCTATACTTGTTATGACGCATTCGCCATCTGATGCAAGCTTTAATAATGTTTGTCACGGCGCACGTCGGGGACCACCACGCACGGCTTAGGCGTCGCGTGATTAATACGCGCCAGGGTGGGCAGTGAAAGCTAGATAGTGATATGGCAGACCGTCTCAAGCCGCGATGCGTGCCCCAACGCCCCGACAAAACGTAAGTGGTACTTTCGCGCCTGTGATACCGGGCATGAAATGGGGCCTCACGAGTATCAACAATTACTTCACTGTGTCTCGCGCATTTAATTGCGTCCATCTCCAAATGGAGTCAAACAACAGTTGACGCAAACGATGCCAGGCCATTCGCAAGCATGGCCCGTGTTGAAACACCCCGTGGGACGGCGGCGTCAGCCCAGCGGCTCCTTTTCATCTCAAACAGAGCTTCGCCAGCTCACTGTCGCCGCCGTGAAATTATTCCCAGCTGGCTAGCTCCTCTGCAAGGAGACGCTAATGCTCCAATTTTCACCGCCATGCGGTTAGCCGTGGGCCGATGTATTGACGGTTGCGTGGCCGCGGTGGAGCGGGGAGCGCCGGGGCTCCCTCCCCCCCCCCCCGCCGGTGTGGGGTAACAGGGGCCCCGCTCGCGGTCCAGTGGGTGCAAGGTCGGTCGGACTGGGGCCGGCGCGTCCCGCCGCTCCACCGCGTGGCGCAGGATGGTACCGATAGCCGGCCTTCGGCGCCCGGATCTCCCCTCCCGGAGATCACGATGCGGTCGGAAGCGAGCGGCGGACGGCGCGCGGCGCGAGCGTCTCCCGCCGCCGGCCAGGACGCGCACTGTCCTTGGCATTCTAGCCGCAGATGGACAGCGCTGGTGGCGGAGGTGCCGCGGGCATCGAGACCGATCCGGCCGCCGGGTTTTTGCTCCACCACCGCGGGAATTGCGTCCCGCCGCCGATCAGAGGCGGCTCGCTCGGCGCTGGTCTGGGAGCGACGTGCTGGAAAGGTGGACCGTTGGATTTTATGCCATCCTGGTTCGGTTACCGGGATGAGGTCATGGGAGCGATGAAATCGAACTCAAGGACACTCGCGACACGCTCTCCTTTCAGCCTCCGTTCGTGACATCAGAACATGCCTAGACCTCGCGCCTTCGGTGGAGAAGAGCCATGCGTCGGAAGTTAAGAATTAAATGCTGGCTGTCCGCTCTCTCGGCGACAAAGCGTGCAGAGCACAGTAGGAGAACCAGTTGTTTTCTTTTCGCCCTGACAAAGGCCAGGTGTCTGGGATGCGGACAATGGTGGTAGCCGGTACCTTGTCTCTCACTGAATGACTCAGGGGGAGGGGGATGGATAACAGGGAGGCATGACAGTTGCAAGGGACTTTTATGCTCGCCTTTTGTCTGAGGCAAGCCAGTTGCAGAGCACTGTCGGCGTGCTGACGGGTCAGCCAGGCGGAAGTGGAAAGAGTCCTCTCGCTGAAACCCGCCAGGGATGGCCTGAAGTTTCCAGTTGCCATTGCATCGCATTGCATTGCATTGTTGTCAGCATAGAAGCGGTCTGAAATCGAAACCCTCGCTTGTTGGGCATGCCGGACTCGCTGGTGAAAACCGTTATTACCAGGAAGTGTAACTGCAACATCACTTTGAAGGCGACGGTGTCGCAGTGTTCTTCTAGATCGAGAACAGCTGCGTGTCCAAATTAAGCTACGCTACGAAGTGACTGAATACAGCGCCTGGCTCCATGCTCCAGTTCGTTTATCTTAATGTCTCATGACATCACACAATCCATACAGTCAACGAGATAATGAGCCTAGCAGCAAGAAGCGCAAGCTCTACCAGTGTGTTGATTTAAGACCAGCGATGTAACGAAAACGGCACCTTCGCACGCCTCTAAATGGTCAGCGTTTCGATCACACCGATGTTTTGAAACACTTGGCCCGCCGTTTCATCTTCTTCTCGCCACTTAAATGAACGGTTATTGCCTCACTGTGGAACATTTGTCATCCCGAAGATTCGAGCAGCCGGTACTGAACTGAGCATTTAACGGTCATAACTCGTCCGAGACCAGCGCCACCTGGGTGTGACCGCAATGAACGCCGAGCTGTGACGGCGCCGCTGACATTGACGCTGTCCGCGTTGTGACACAGTTGACCGCCGGCGCTCCGTCACTCGGTGCGTCGATTAATCACGACGCGACAGACTGATCACACGAGGTCGCGTGTCGGGCGGCCGCCGGCCGCTGCCAGGCGGGGCGCGTAACGTCTCACTCCCGGCGGGCGTTTCGTCAGGCGACTCCGCGCCGCCGGCACGCCCGAGCCTGCAGCGTGACATTGACGGTGTGAGAGAGCGCCGCCGGCGTGACGGCGTAACGAGGCGGCCGCGGTCACGGCGCGTGACGCCGGTGCGAGCTGACCCAGCGCTGACCGCCCGAGGGCCGCCGTCGCCGAGACCCTGGCCACGTGTCCGCCCCACCGCCGGGGCTCGGATCGGCCCGGGACGCCAGGGTCCGGCGCAGGTGCGTCGCTCCCGCTGCAGACACTTTCACCTCGCTGAGGGAGCCCTGGCCGCCGCCACACTCCTCGGTCGTCGACAGGACATTTGTCCAGTGGAGACGTAGGAGCTGGGGGGGGGGGGGGGGGCATGAGTGGGACGTGCTGTTCCGCAGATTTCGCGGATCAGTCGCCGCCGGGTGCTCCCAAGTGCCGGGCGACCCGCAGTCTCAGCCTGGGAGGGCGACGTCCGGGCACGAACGCTCGAGAGGGCTCACGAGCTAGCTGCCATGCCCGTCCTCTGCGAGACCCGGGGATGATGACACGCCCGGCCTGCCCCGGTGAGAGGGCCGCGCGCCCGTGTGGGTGACGGGGTCCTCGCCCGGCCCGTGACCGCCCCCGCCCCCGCCCCCGCTCCCGGACCGGGCCTGGTCGAGCCGCGGCACCGGGAGCCGGGACGGGCCTGGCGGCCATGGTCGATGTGTGGGCCCGGTGCTGTCTGGGTCCGGTGCTGTCTGGGCCCGGACCGAGGTGTGGCCGGAGAGCAGTACCGCGCCGCGCCTGGGACGCACTCACTGTGTCACCCTCACCTCGAATGGATGACGCCCGGTGGTCCTTGCACCACCCTGACCAATCGGTATTCAGGCTCCGTGGGAAAAGGGACGTTGCGAAATTCTGGCCGTCTGGTATTCTGATTTTTCCCGATAGACGCGCACCTAATTTAACAATAGAACCTTGAGGATGTAAATGTATCGGAATCTGTCTCTGTGTAGACCTTGTTCTTGACACAACTTACTGTCGCCGCGAACATGCGGATACAAAGCGTGTCTAACTAGTTTTCACATGGCCCGTCTGACCTTGCTAATTCTCATGTTGATACCATATTTTGTCACGGTTTGCACGAAGTGGTGTTCTCGTTTATTAGCGTCATGGCATTGCATGACAGAGCGCGGGGCACGGCCAAGCCATTTACCGCAGACGGCATCGCCATGAATATATTATGAAACGTACACTACGATGGTGAATCACCAGGGCTGTCACCAGGACCAGGGCACTGTCACCAGCTGTTGCTGCTAACTCAGCACAAAATCGTCTTGTTTACTTGGAGGTAATAGCGTTGCATTGTCATACGATTGCTAACCTGCTTGTCGAAATATGGAAAATCGTTGCTTCGGTAAAGTGGTCATTCGACCCGAAAATTAATGGCGCGTCTTCACGTTATTCTAAGTACAAAAATTGTGTTTTCTTTGTTTTCTCCCTGCGATTTTTGGGAATGTTCGCAGTACTTATTTAACGGGTTGGGTGATGCCTCTTGATGTGTTTTCCTAATCCATGCTGTTTTACGTTTAGAAAGCAAGTTCAGTCAAGAAACGCATATAATACTGCTGTTCATTCACAAGGTTTAAAGAATCATTCCAAGTCATGAATGGCACGCGCAGGCGCCATGCTATGAGCTTAAGTATTTGCAACACTAAGCATGTGCTCCTTACCGATAGCAGTAAGCTGATATGTGTCTGGATCTCAAGCATGGATCAGGATCCTATGGGGTGTGCATTTTAATGGGATCCTGGGATTTTTAGGGAGTACCGGGCACACGTATGCCAAGAAGCAACTGCAACAGCCCTTTAAGCCAAAAAAGGCCCATCTTCTTGTAATGCAGCTATTTACATCATATATCCGCCGCAAGCTTGTGTGCTGCGAAAGTGATCTGTACTTTACAATGCGTCTAGGCGAGTCATGGTATGTTTAACAGTACAATGTTAGCCCTGGAAGATAATGCACTATGTTTTGGTCTGTAGTCGCACTGATCCTAAGGCTATGGACAAGAACTACCGCTTGCCCTCGTGGTCAATCAGCACTTGTATCACGTTAACATGTTACAACACTTGCAAATCTTTATTTCGCAAGCTGTGTCCTGCCCAGGGTCCACCGGTTCTCTGCCCCACAAATGTAAATCAGAAGAAAGCCCACCTCTGCAACAGCCAGCTCGGAGGCGGGGGCGTCCATACGTCGATGCATCCTCTTCCTGGCACTCCTCATGGTGACGTCACGCGCAGAGCACGGCCCACGGCGCCCGGATGTTACGTCACGCGCCATCATTGGGAGGCGGTACCAGTCATGCAGGGGTGTTAGCCATTGGAGCCATTGCTTCACTTCTCTTTTGATTTTCTCTGCGGAAAGCGGCGGATGAGATAACTAGCCAGTCACGGGATGACCTGACGCGTCGAATTATGCAAATTTATCGATGACTTGCACACCCAGCTATTTACTGTAGCAATTTCTACCCGGCCTGACTGGCCGCCGCTTCTCTCCAATATTTCGCAAACCACAGGCAGAATTTGCACCCACATTAAGCCACGGCGTTATTTTTTGGCACATCAAGCTCCAACTGGGTAGTCTTTTTCACACCTTTCGAACGCACTGCCGCCGGCCTCGAGGGACGTATTATCTATCAAACCGCTCGTTACCGCCATATTTATCCACGCGCGTGAGTCGCTCGTTAAAGGATGAGTGTAGTAATAAGCGAGCGCTGCATCGCCGCACTAACTCTTGATCGCCCCGCCGGATGTCGTGACACAGGGCGTTGCGCAATAATGACAAGGTGCATCGTCCATGGCGACTGAGAACTTTGGTATTCACGCCAGCATTTGCGCATGAGACGAATGAGATTTAAATCGCAACGACCGCAGAGGCACAAATTTGCCGAGATTATCTCTCACGCGAGCATTCTTTCGTGCCGGAGTACTACGCTGTTTACGCGGCCGTACTACGCTGTTTCACTTCGTCGAAGTGCGGACCTGCCGCCGAGAACGCACCGGATCGCCCCCCACCGACAGGTCCAGCACATCCATGACGGAGATACCTGATGTCGCTGACCCGTGACGCTCTGCCGTCCGCAGGTGCGAGGGCAAGCCCTACGGCTACTACGCGGACATGGCCAACGACTGCAGAATCTTCCACATCTGCCAGCCAGTCGACGTGTCCGGGGACAGTATATTCTACACGCGGTACAGGTGAGGGCCCAACCGCACACATGCATCGCCCCCGGCTGGATCACGAGTTGGAGCTGGGCGCTCAGCTGCAGCTCAGGAGCACGTCTAGAGTTGTTCCAGAACAGTTCAGCGAGCGTGTGTCCGCGCTGCCAGTGCAGCGCGTGCTCTTCTGTGCTCTCGTCTGCAAATTATGGACACATTGCATGCCACTATGCTTTTAACTGGAGACAGTGTAAAAGAGCCAAGGGTGGCGCGTTTTCACGTTTACGTCTCATCATGATGACGGAGGTCGCATGCCAGGTGGTTTTCTGCAACCTTCGACAACGTGTCAATTTGACCGGCTTTGCCTGGCACGGTTGTAGCGTTTTACACAAACTCTCCACATTCTTGCAACGTTTTGTTCATTCATTGTTCAGCTATCTTAAAGTCAAAAATCATAACGTCCGTGGAAGACGCTCAACGGTTTCCGGTAGGACTTTAAGAATCATTCGGCAAACGGGGGAACATTTTTCATTGATGGGTGTGAGCATACAGTGTTTTGTCGGAAGACTTCGTTCACGGTAAGAAATGAACCGTGATAAGAAATTGAGAAGCAGCAAAGCATAACACACAGTGATAAGGAACAGCTTTTTGGGGGGAGGAAGTTAACTTTGTCGATGCTCCGGTATGCTCCTGCACTGGTGTATGTATTTGACATCATCATACATGGATTGTTATTTACAGATAAGGAATGGCTGGGCTGAAATCAATTTGAGAGCCGAATGGCCCCTGACTTAAGACCGCATATTCATTTGCATGTCTAACTGCGTAAGGCCGACCTTGTTTAAACTGCATGCAATCAGTTTCGCATATCAACATGGTTCGAGGCAACACATTGTTTGGCGGCAGCGCTTTTGTTCTTCTAGACTTGATCAATAACCATCTCACTAAAAATTAGAATGAATGTTGTCTTGGTGCAAGGAACATTTGTAACAACTTCACACCCAAGACGTAAATGGGAAAAGTGCGCGCTGCTGTATTCGATGCGTAATTTCCCGCGAAAAACTGCGCACCAGCTTGCTGAAAGTCAGGCGTGCGTAAAAGTTACGCTCCAGTGTTGCAGCGCGCTTGCAGCTCCGCTGTTCCACCAGAACCTTGTCTGGAGCGCATTCTGCGCTGAGATCCGTGGGAACCCGTTGACCTGCGGTAACCACGAACCGCACCTTCACGGTAGAGGCGCGCCCTGGAAAGTCGTGCCGACTCGCCCAGGTGCGCGCCTGGGCGCCGCCCGACTGCTTGCCGAAACGCGGAAGAAAGGGAGAGAGAGAGTCGCTCGACATAGGCGTTTGGCCCAGTGCCAGAAGGAAGCAGAGAAGAACATCTCGTGATAACCGGGAAGCATATCGAGCTCGTGATCATGGGAGGCACATGTGAAGGTCTAGGTCAGCCACGTGAGAGTCAGCATCCCAACATTGCGCGAGAGGCAGCGGAACACAAGGCTGTTCTCCTGACGCCGGCGTGAGCGACACCGGAAAGGGATGTTTCCGGTGTCGCCCGACTGTCCCGCCTCTGGCGGCGACTCCTCCCAGCCACCAGGCTCCGTCGCAGAGGTGCTGGCCCTCCGAAGGCCGCCGACTGCTCGCCGCTGGCCGGCGGGGCTCCGTGCCGTGAGAGGGGACGCCGGTGGGCCCGGGGCCGCCGCCAGGCCGGCCGGGCCCGGCGCAGTGTTGCACCACGCACCAGCACCGCCTGCCGATTTCACGGGCCGTCAGCCGGCAATGTTCGGCCGACCGAGGGCGGCGTCGTCGGGCGACCGGAGGCGGGACGGCCTCCCCCGAACTGGGTCAGCCGTCCCCGGCCGCACCGCCGGCGTCTCCAGCGGCGTCGGGTCGCGGTCGGCGCCTCAGGCGGTTCGGCCGCCTGAGAAGTTCACAGGTGATAACGCGACGGCCTCGTTGACGCCTGGCTGTGGCAACGACGGCGAACGCTGCACGCCCAGTCCTGCAACAGGGCTTGACGCAATGTTGCCGCCGCGCGCGGCGTTTGTGACGGCGTTAAGAAAAGCTAGAGCGGAACTCTCCTGCCTCTGCAATAAAATGACACGTCTCGTCGGGACGCCGCGCCTTTTGTCCCGCGTCACGAGCGGTGCGGCCTCCAGCCTCACGTCGCGCCGCAGCGCCGCGCGCTCCGCCGCCGGTGACCGTCCACAGGCGCCGGCGCCCGCCAAACGACAGATAAATCACCAAGCACAGCGTCCCCTCTTGCAACACCGGGAAACGCGACTGCCATGCTAATGCGCCGGCCCTGCAATAGGCCGGGCGCGTCTCGGAGCCGTCGCGTGGCCCTGCCCTGCCCTCTCCCCGCCCCCGGCGGTACCATCTCCTGCTGCCGGTTGCGTGTCTGGGTGGCTCAGGCCGGCCACTCCCAGCCCCTCTCCAACCCGTAGGCGGGCGCGATTCGCACGGGCCCTGTCCGCCGCCGGCTGCCCGCCGACCCGGTCCGCCAGCTGACGGCTCGGATTGTGGGGCAGGCGAAGCGAGCACGCTAAGTCAGAGCTCTGATCCGCTGGCTTACGTCTGGGATCGTGGGGTGGGCGAGGTGGGTGAAGCAGGCACGCTTAGTAAGAGCTCCGATTCACCAGCTTACGGCTCGTATCTTGGGGTGGGTGGAGCAGGCACGCTGAGTCAGAGCTCTGATCCACCACCTTACGTCTCGCATCGTGGGGTGGGCGAGGCAAGCAGCTTAGTCAGGGCTCTGATCCACCAGCTTACGACTCCTATCTTGGGGTGGTTGAAACAGGCACGCTGAGTCAGAGCTCTGATCCGCAAGCTGGTGGAACAGAGCTCTGACTCAGCGTCAGCTCAGCTCAGCTCCGATCCACCAGCTTACGGCTCGTATCTTGGGATGGGTGAAGCAAGCACGCTGAGTCACAGAGGTCCGGCGGCTCGCGTGAGCCAGGGCGGCATCGCCGCTGCAAATGCACGAAACGCCGTAACTGGGCGTGCAGGGGTGGCGCTTTTGCGTGGGTGGCGCGCCACGAAGCAGTACCGGAGGCGCCTGCGCCGAGCAGCCGGCTCTCCAGCCGGTGGTGTTTTTGTGGTAGTTTTTACACACGTGGGTGTACGGAGCGTGGTTGTTCTTCTCTGGCTTGTAGAAAGCGTTATCATCGGGACCCTGCGTGGATCGTATCGTGCTCATATTTAACGGGCGATCGGAGGCGCGACGCGATGTCATGTCTTTTTGTTTGTTGACACCAGTCCCAAACCATGCGGCTGTGCCCAATCGACATGAAAACGACCCGTCTTGCTTACAAAACAGATCATGAAGCCGTTTTAAAGGTGCTAGCGATACAGTTGATTCTACCAAGTACCCATGAATCAAGTTGCCTCCTCGTCACGTTTATTGATGGAGCCTCTTCATCGTCACCATCTATCAGTGCCCGCGATTGGCCGTGATATGAAAATATCTTCTGATTCAAGTCGTCCCAAAAATAATTATTCAACTATCACACACAGCTTGTGAGCGACTGAATGTTTTGTGTATCGCTTCTGGCGAACATCGTCAATCTTCATTGTCCGCTACTTTGTATCCGCATACTCCGGCCTTGAACACCGTTGCAACTGTCTTATTGCAAATCCGTCCTGGCCATGGGTTCGTTGAGCAAGATAACTCTGCCACCAGTGCGGCCTTCTAGACCGCAATGGGCCGATTGACCTTCCACAACAGGCGTGCCCCTCTGTTTGTGACACTGACTGACGGGATTTCGTGACCGTGTTTCTCACGGAGCTCCCGAGGTGGGAGGCGAAGCGACGTTAGTTGTGGATATGCTTGGAATGCGAGGCCGCTTTGGGATGACTTAAGTGCCGCAGTGTCCATATTGAGTCACGACTCACAGCTGCCTGGCTCTGCATTCCATGTAAATTAAATGCGCGCACCGGTGCACCAAGCACCAATCTGTGCGACCGATGCTGTGGATCTACGGGCGATCGAAAATTATGGAATTAGTGTCAGACGATATGAAGTATCAAAAGCAAATCATGAGCCCGCTATCTGATGTCAGGTTCGAAGGAACGGTTCCAGGAACCGTCTGATGTCAGGTTCGAAGGGGCGGTTCCAGGAACCGCCCCTTCCGGTGCTTCGGAGGAGGATTGTTGTAGATTTTATTGTTGTTGTTGTTGTAGGGTTCCATCCCACAGGTGTGCGGTTGACTACCATTACGTGTCTTTCCGGTAGCCTTACCCGCTCTTCCCGGCAGCTTCTTCTGCGGCAAGCAGACGCGGTTCGACCAGTCGATGCTGTCCTGCCTGCACGACGAGGACGCCATTGCCTGCTCGCAGTCGGTCGACTGGCTCTTCCGCAACGACGACTTCGGAGTGGAGGGTGACCTCGAGGAGCAGTTCCAGGCCGATGTGCAGAGCGCATCGTAGCACCTCCCGCCCCTCACTGCGCTGCAGCTGCCGCCTCTCATCACGGAGCAGCTTCTGTCCCCGCCGAGAAGCGGCTGCTGCTCCCGCCGCGAAGCAGATACGATTCCCGCCTCGAAGCAGCTGCCGCCGCCTCGCAGCGCAATGGTCCCCGAACCACGCGTTTTCCGAGACGCTGAAGTGCCTACTCATGGGAACCAGGTGCCGACGTATATCATGTGGGAGAGTGGGCGGCGGCGTTGGTTGTCTACGTGCAAGGATTTCGCGGTCCACCGCCGGCGTCGGTGCACTGCATGTCTGGGAAAATCGCTCGTCAAAGGGCCGTGCGCAGTCGCAAACATTGTATTGATACATGTCCGACGCTGCACGCGCGCGAATGAATTGTGCGGGGCTGGATGCTGATGCATCGTTTGGTCCTTCAGTGCAGTGAGCACACGCATGTCTCAAATCGATGCTGTCGCAACCCTGCTGGCAGATAGACATGCTAGTAACTGAGCGAATTGATTCTTTGTCGACCTGTTGGTGTGCATAACATTTTCTACCGACCACGCACTTCAATACTCTTGGACGTCATGATATGCCGAATGTAAGATAACGCTAATGGGATGAGCAACATGGTGATGCATGCAGAGGCAAAAACCTTATGCTCATAATATTATAAATCCGTCCAGAAAAACGGTTTGAAAGTGCACCGTCCGTGTGGCTTTATGTGTGAGCGCTGAGGAAAACCCATGGCTCATATATATATATATATATATATATATATATATATATATATATATATATATATATATACGTTTAAGGACTGCTTAGATTGCGAGCGTAAAATTCTTGTTATTTTCCTCTGCATAGTCATTATATGTCAGCTTATCGACTCCTGTTACTGGGTATGCGGAACAACCGACATCACCTTTCTGCTGTTTTAGACACATACGGATTAGGTCATGTCGTGCAGCGCCACGCATTCACATTCGTTCTCATATGGCAGCGACTTCACTGTATCGACGAGTCGGGCATGAACACTGAGCAGCGCTCGCCGCTCCCGGCCTCGCCTTGGTCCTGTTACTGCTAGCGTTTCCCAGGCAGCGTGCCCAGGCCACGCGGTGGAAGTGTGTGCATGTGTAAGTAGTTGATCAGTGTGTGCGTCTAGTGTTTCTTGTCATCCACTGTATCTCAAGGCTTAGCTCAATTCACGCAATGCATCGACAATAAATGTAAAACCAGTGATGTACCTGTGCAGGGAACGTAGGTCGGTTAAAGTTTTTAGATGGGTGATTCTGGAAGAATATTTGCACGCACCTCTTACAAAATAGCCAGTGATAACGATAGCAACAATGATAACGTGGCAATAGCGTGGGATACAAATCGCCCATGAGCGGCTGTGGGCTGGATTCGTGAGAAGCCAAACCAATACAAAATCAATTATTTTCAGAGGCATGCAGTAACAGCTTGCTTCCTTATACCATGAGCTGATGTTCGATTTTCAATAGCTTTTGATAGCATCCGATAAATCATAAGAGACCGTCTCACGTGTTTGTCATGAAATACTTCAGATTTCCATGGTGAATGAACGATGAACCACACACGACAAAGACAAATGGATGCATTGATTTATAATCATGGTATTGTCGTTTCAGAATGCTCATTTGCATGAGCGTATTTACTTGATAGAGATATTGTGTTGTCTGAAGCGGTCTGTTCAACTTAAAAGTATACCAATACCCAAAAGTGAGCTTAAATCATTACATCGGCAGCTTGCTCTCAATATATTCAGATGTGGAACATTCTCTTTGAAATCTCAAGCTCTCTAGTTTCTCACCCACACGCCCGCAAATATGTGCGACTATTTGTAGGCCATTTATGCATGCATGGCGCCACAGCAACATCATTGGAATCCTGCTATCCAGTAGGCAACGCAGCGTTTAAGGCCAAGAAGAATATCAACATCGAACCGTTCGATCTGGCGTCCGTGAGCACGATTTCCAAATATAACGGACATCAATTGGCTCTCAATCAATGTTGTGTAAGTTGCAGTCACGAATCACGTTTTGTATTACATCAGATAAGCAGATGGCCGTGGATGCTAATCATTACTCAATTAACACTTGCAATCGCATAACTTGAGGATAGTGCCATAACGGAGCCTGTGAATGCACCTGTTACCACACCGCCTCTCGGCGAGTTGAAATAAAACTGAGTCGACCCATGAAATACAGCGGCAGCGCTGACACGACCAGTCTGGCAGCGACTCTGATGCGATGAACCGCTCCATGACATAATCAAACGATAAGGTTTTGGTGATCACATTTTCCACAAATACATTTTTTCTAGACAATTCCGTGGTACTTCAAGGTATACCAATAGTTACAAGAGACATTTTTTACGTCATATCTGAAGTTAGCCTCAACTTCTTCCAATACGAAATGTTCTTTTTAACAGCTCACCATTTCGCCGTTTGCAAGTGAGAATTTTACCTTTTTGGGGACAACATTGTGCAGTTCGTCACTTTGGCTTGTCGACTTTGCGGTAAGTTGTCATTTTGCAATTCATCACTTAGCCCTTCGCAATTTTGGGATGATACCATTCTTCTACGTTGCATTTTTGCAGCTCGCCATCTAGCCGATTCGACTTTTTGGCACGTCGAATTTTGACATGTCGACAATATGGAAGTATGTGATGTGTATCTGCGGGCTATAAGGCTAAGATGTGGACAAAATATCAATCGCTCTCTGTCCTCTGTTCCCGCAGCAGGAATGGAGCGGAACCAGCTGACTGGTGGCCAGAACCGTAGACACTGGAGGCAGCTGACATAAAAAGGCCAAATAGGAATTACCCAGCCCACGTAGCATTGGAAAGCCTCGTGCTTTCGGTATAGCCTTGTCAGTTGATCTTATTGTTTTTCATGTCGTCATGTGACTTTTCGTCGTTTGGGCATGTAACCATTTTTGCTTGTTACCATTTGTTTAAACATGACTCTTAAGCAGTTCAACATTTAAGTGTTCGCCACGTTGGTATATTGACCATTTTACATCACGGCATTTTGCACTTCGCCAGTAAGCCGTTTGCCATTTCGGCACGTGTATTTTTTGGTCTGTCGCCGTTTTGCAATCCACCTTTTAACAGTTCGCCATTTCGTCATGTCGGCATTCTTCCGTGCAGCCATTTTGCACTTTGCCATTATGTTATCCTGTATGGGGAGACAGCCGTTCGTGTTGCCTGACCAGACCCACCATCCTGCCACATTTTTTTCTCTCTCATATCTCTCAGCTTTACAACATTATACACACGAACCCACGCCTTGCGGTGACGCGAGATTTAATGAAACGTGTTTCTTGTTCAATTTCGAGCATAATGGTACGCATCTGTACGAGTTTTGAGCGTACATTTATATTTTATGACTCCGTTAATGTAACAATGACGGCCCACCGCGCGCTCCGCGGCAACGTCGGTGGCGCTCGCCACGTGTCGCCCACGCCGGCCGTAGACCGCCGCGCAGTGTTCCGCAGAAAACGCCGCTGCTCCGAAACCAAATGAGTTAATAGTTTTTGCGCCGAAACTCGCGCAGTGGATACCCCACGAGGTACTGAAAATTTGGGCGCGATAACAATATGCCGGAGAGGTATTCCCCCCCCCCCAAAAAAAAAGCTTAAGTTGGCATCCCTCTTCAGGGCGAAGGTTAAACCGCGGGAATCATCACGAATAACGCACGTCGGCTTTATTACGTTAGTGTCATTATTCTTTATTGAGGCGTTCAGCGAAAGCAAAACTCTTACACTGTCATTGCGCATCGTACCAGGTGTGTTCGCGATTGCGACAGGCTGGCGGATTTATGACATGTGCGAATATCAATCTACGTTTAGTGTGATGCAATGATTTGGGAAAATAACGCATGGTATGCTGAAACAGGTGTTAAAAGATCGTAAAAATATCGTGGGTTGTTTTCCCTGCAACTTTTGGCACGTAGGCATTAACTTTAATCGCAACCGAACAAATAATTAGCCACTTGAAATGTTCAACATCACGTCCCGTTCCGTACCATAGATTGCCCAGCAGGCACTCTCGTAGAATTAGAGATGTCTTATCTGCATACCTCTAACCAGTGTACCCACTTGTCAGTCACGACTTCACTTGCCTCCAGCGCCAAAACTGGGGTTGTTCAGTCGAACAGGCAGACCGGCATGTTTAACCTTCATGTGACGTTGAAGATTTCTATGTTGGCCATGGAAGCTGCACTCCCTGTAGTTACGAGAAAAAGCAGACGATATGGCCATGGCGACCACAGGAAGTCCACAGTCCTCACTCCTCATCTCCTTGTGAGCATTCCGCTATAACGCACCCGGCTCCGCAACAAACCAGCGATGCCCAAGGCCGCAATAACACATTTGAAGGCAATGCTGCACCACTCTCTCAAAGGTCACACACAATCTATACACAAAGGCCATGAGGTTATAAGTTGTAAGTGTATTTTTCTGCAGCATATTTTGTTTCAACAATATTTTAACGGTTTGTTGTATGATGATATTCTCGTTTTCACAAAAGTAGTTCAGTAAACATTCATTGCTTGCAAACTGACATCTACGATCGTATGACGTCACATACGGCCCAAATGGTGAGTCAATGCAATTGTGGACGGCCAATTTGTGTAGCGCTGAGGAGACAGCAATCTAAGGGCAAGGGGCATCTTACAAACTGAACTAAAATGACCCTTCGAAAAGTAATAGACGGCCAGTTGTGCCGACGAAGCTCCCACAAGTCTTCCCAAACGGCAGGGTTGATGAATGTTGAGACCATTAAAACATATTTCACTGCTCAGCATTAAAGGTGATGCACATCATTGCATAAGAATAAGCGTTTTATGAAATGCATGTCAAATAAAAAACCTGCTGCAAGAGGGCGTTCTGTCTCGTTTCGTGAAGAGTAGACGGTCCTGTGAGTCTCCCACTTTAATACCTTTGTCGGACACCGCTCGTTCATACACTCATAGACTCGAAGACGTAAGGCTGCCGTTGGTTGTGCACGTGGCCATTGGGGTGTGAAGTGTTGGTGGATGTGAGGGCTATTAGAAGCTCTACGCCGACAAGATTTATCTTTGCCTGAATCACGAGAAACAGTGGCATGAGCGAGGTCGTCACCAGTCTATCACGCAAGCAGTTAAAAACCTGCGACAGGCCACGTTAAGGGCAAAAATTTCAGATGAATGCTTCGATGTTGTGAATAAACAGCTGGAAAATGGTATATCAGATATCCATGGGCATATCAACCGGAGGGGGATGGCACAGCATGCTATGTATTTTTAAAATAGTATTTCGGTAGGTTTAACGCGACTGCGTCTATGATGCAGCTATCAGAACAAGGAAAGGATTACGTGTGATCACATAAATATTTCTGTCAGCGCTGGCAGAAAATGCATCTATCATTGTATGGCGTTCGGTGACTTGGTAACACTTCTTGTCGGGGGCTTAACCACGGCTTAACGCAAATGCACACGGCATAACATCGGTTGTGCAAACCTCGTACAAAAACGAACGGACCTCTTGCCTCTGACAGCGGAAGATCTTAGACCACCGTTTGCCCCTCCCTCTGCCCTACCGAGAGCAGACCACCCCGCCTCGCTCCACGCCCGGTTTCTGCCCCCGGACCGGAGAGGCGTTGCTGCCCTCCGCCCGACTCTGAGGCGCGTGAAAGGGAGCTGAAGGGCGGCCTTCGACTCGAGCCAGAGGGGCTCGA